AACCATTCACAATAAGAAACTACCAAACGGCACAGACCTACAAAGTGTCATAAAAAAACACTGATGTCTCACAGATCTACAATGTGTTACAAATGAAACTTATGTCCCACAGACGTATAATAGTTATAAAGTGTCACAAACAAAAACTGATATCCCACAAACCTACAATGCGTCACAAATAAAACGGATGTCCCACGGACCTACAATGTGTCACATATAAAAAGTTTAAAAGAAAAACATTTTTTGAATAATAATACATAAAACAAAAATAAAATATGTCTCTAAATACATTCCAAAATACTATCACTATGGAATTGGCTATCAAACGAAAAATAACTGTATAACGCATCAACTTTTCGGATGCTGTACACAAAGAAAAAGTCAGGAATGTCAGGTTCAGTACGGATAAGTCAGGCAAAGTACGGATAAGTTAGGTTAAGTCAGGCTAAGTTAGGTTAAGTCAAGGTATAATTCATGTTAAATCAGGGTCGTTCCAAAACTTAGGTAAAACACTTTAAGAACACTTCCAGTGAGAAATAAATTTTTGGCGCTGTAATGCAACTCATTTTCTACCGAATCCTTCCATCCTTTGCTCTAAATAATGTTATCGGCTGATGAAAGTTCTAAAAATTCTTTTCTGGAGGGTTCCAATTCCCTCCCTATAAATAAGCCGGCAGCCTTCCCAGCGGAGGGAGACTTTTTGGCTAGATTTTCTAGACAAGGCTGCAAAGCCAGGGTTGGTGTCATCCGGTGCGCTAAACTCATGGTGTCACCTTATCCCCTGACTTTTAAGATGGATTTCTTCTTGTTAAATCAAGTCAACGGTACAACAACGACCACATCAACACATTCATTGAAGGTCTGGGGTAAATGTATGCTTTCAAAATGCAAAGATAAAAACAATCCCACTAAAGACGGTGCAGGGAATGTGCGCACTCTACAGGACAAAGACGAGCGGAAAAGACCTCAGACAAGAACAGCCCTTATATGAAATGAACTAGCAAGGTACGGGGTTCTTGGTAAGACCTAGTTTTGAAAAGGACTGCTCACATGAAGCCACAGACACACGGATTGTAAGAAACAGTTGTAGACTTTCCAAGAGTATTGGAAGAGATTCTAGGAAATCCCATTCAGCTATGAATTTCAAAACATCAAATACTGACCAAAACTTGAATTTGTGAAATTCAATATCAGCTGCCGTTAGTGTCTCCTAAGTCTTGGTATTTATTTTAAAAGTTCATCTACTGATAACTCATCATAGAAAGAAGTTAATTTTGGAACGGACAACAATAACTCTTCTTAACTTGCTCATAGTAGACTCTTGGGTTGAACAGCCCCAAACATATCTGTCACTTCCTTGATCACTGATGATCTGATCTAGATTTCATAATGAAAGCCAGCAATGCACTCCAGCATCTCCCTACTGTTTTACTCTTGCAGATAGAAAGACTACCATCCATTAATTTTTCCCTAGCCTTTATTTTCTTAAATCTTAATCTTCTCTCTACTGAAATTCAATATTGGTCTGATTTTTAAAATACATTTTTAATAGCATGTTCCACAAAAATTTGGATAAATTTGGATTCCTTAGATTTAAGAAAGTTACCTAACACTTAAATCGGCGTTGAATAATGGTCAAAAAGTGTTCCTGACGCATCAACATTTAAATTTGATTAAAGCACGCATTTGGATTGGTTACACATGTGGAAATTATACTTGTGATCGGTTAATCTTTAATGAAATTTGATTAGACCGAAAAGTGTGTGCACTTTTTCAATTTGTGTGACCCCTTGGAATGTTGTCATCCCCTGGTGCAATCCCCACCCCTCCAAGGACCCCTAGCTACGCCCCTGCCTAGACACGAGACATTGATAGGAGCAATGCAAGATTTTACTTTTTCTGTGTATCTATAAATATTTCTCTATTCGGAGGATTATACTATTTCACATGCTGGATTGTAAGTTAATATATTTTGTATTGATGCATATTTTGATTTTGTATTTTAACAAAAAAAGTTAATAGTATGATTCAATTGAATTTTGTTACCGTCACAAGCTTTGGTATCGTTTTTATTTGTACACCGGTTTTCAATCCTCTGTTAAGTATTTTCGCGCCAAATCTTAAATAGGTTCAAATTTCAACAAAAAAAACCCCCATACAACAGTACAAAACATTAACTTCAGTTTACAGAAACGGAGCTTGTACTAATAAAGTTCAATACTCTAAGGAGGTCGAGAGTCTATCTCTTAGGACCTCGGCCAATAAACATAGCCTAGTAGTCCCTGGGGACTCCGGCCATGCAACACGGTCTCGAGTACAAGGAGTGTTGGGCAGTTTGCTTCCACACATGAGGGGACAGTTTTGCGTCACAACCCCCCTTGACCAATGAGTCTTTCGGTCTGGACGTTGGGTTGGAACTGCTTTGGTTCCTCTCCGGGGATGGCGTTGCGTTGCCTCCTCCAATGCCAAGGGAGCCATACGTTCCTTGGTGTGGCACGGCTTCACCTCCACTCCGGGAGTAGTCTCGAGCTTAACTTTCTCCCAACGTTCCTGGGAGTTGTGTGGACGTGGGTCAGAACGGCTTTGCTTCCTCAACGGGGAGGTGTTGCGTTACCTCACCCCACCGTTCGGGGAGTGGTTCGGTGAGGACTGTGTCGGGACGAAACGGTCGCCTAGGAGCGGCTTTCTCAAGGCCGCATGTTTTTAATCCTCAGCAAGGATTTTAAGAAAACCCAAGCCTCATATCCATTATCGGCGACACGTAATCATGTTACCGCGCAACTTCCGTTGCATTGGAAGTCATGCGTTTTGCTTGGATCTTTTGGCTTCAGGAGTCACCTCCCTACTAATCTTCCACACCAAGCAGAGGTAAGATCCGTGTGACACCGCCGTGAGCATGGTGATGTGAGTTTTCTCCCAGTCTAGCGCCAGCTATCCTGGGGGAAAACTCGAAGGAGCTTGTACTAAATTGGATGACTATTAAAAAACATTGTACATGTTAAATTCTTGCTTTTAATTAATAGTGTTTTGGGTACAATGAAATTTATTATTTAATTAAGAGAGGAAGAAAGTGAGAGAGAGAGAGGGAGAGAGGGGGGAGACAGAGAAAGTGTTTTTTAGGAAGCTCTGTTGGGGGGGGGGAGGAACCAGGACCCCCCGGAGAAAAGGTAACTATTACACGCTTTTCATTTATTTCCTCTTTGCGTTCATCGTGTCAAATGCAGTTAGCGGCGCTTTATGTGATGGAAAACTTTTTGTTTTAAATAAATTTTTTGAAAGGTATATTGTTCTTTAATACATTTTTTTATATTCATTAATTATTTCAAAAGTTTACCCCAAAAATAGATGAAATAAAAATTTAAAAGCCAAAATACCAAATTCAGTAATGTATAAAACAAAATGTATAATGCAAAGATGCCTAGCAGCCGTCACTTAACTTTTCAAGGCCCCCTTGCCAATTTTCGGCTTTGTCCTCTTTCACGTTGCATTCAACGTTGATCATTTTAAAAGCTCTAAAATATCTCAGGTCCCCTTCAGCGATTGAGGTTGCGAGGTCAACATGATGGCTCTGACATTAAATGACATCCACATTTAAGTAACATCTCTTTAATGCTCTACAATTAAGTGTAGAATGTTCCACACAAAAAAATGTCTTAAGTAATTTCAAATTAATATGTTAACCCTCGAACTGTGGTTGGCCGACGAAATCGGCCAATATTCTCGTTCTGTACTGTGGCGGCCGAAAAAATCGGCCGATAAAAAACACGGTCCGATAGCAACTTCCAATCCAATATTTAACCGAAATCGTAGCCATTTCCTTTTTATTAATAACTAAATCAACTTCCGGGTCAAGCTGTTTCGTGATAACTTAACAATTAGTGCTTTTTAATCGAAATTTTATATCGCTGTTTTTTTTAAAAAGCGAAAATGGCGGAAGCTATGGCCGGGCCTTCAGTGCCAGAACTAATATAAATATTTTGAAAGCTTTTTAGGAGATGATTTCAGTGATGCTGATGATGATTTTAAAATTCCCCACGACATCTCACTTCAGATTCTTCTTTTCGTGAATCTGATACTAGTCTTAGTGATACCGAAGTAGGCCTACTGAGGCTACTGTTTGACTTCGAGACAGGCCCGGAGGTTGGGCAAGGACTGACTGAATTTTAGTCACAGAAGCTACAGATTATAGATCAGAACTAATAAATTTTATAGTTTAACAACCCAAAATCAGTTCCACAGTCCATTTTTAAATGTTTACTAGTCAATAATAACTATTTTGCCTGAGATTTTGTATTTTGTACTTGGTTTTAGAAGTAGTCCCAGTTTCTTGTATAAATGACCTAAAATTACTAAAATTGCTTTGAGATGTGTAATTGCAATCAAAACCTTAGCAAACCATAAATTTTCTGATAGATAAATGAATTGGCTACAACATTTAACTCGTGTTTTAAGAGTATCTATAAAAATTAATAATTTTATGAGCATTTTAAAGCAAGACATTTGTCGATTTTTATTTTCTTGAGAACTCTAGGGTCAAGGACACTGAACTAAATTTTTTACGGGGTGGCCAATATTGAAAACTTTATTCCCATCCATTTACCTTTCTAAAAATATGTACTTATAGAGGTCTTGTATCAATATTTCTATGTCATTTAATGCAATTTCAAATAGCACTCAAAACGCTCTGAAAAGCTCCACACCACAGAATGATACATGCCACAGTTCGAGGGTTAAGTAGTGTCAAATTAATATCTTAAATAGTGTAGTTACTTTACCATGTCTTAAACAGTGTCAAATTGTGGTAAATCTAATTATAGGCCTATGATAAATCGATCAATTTGAATAAAACCTTGTCTGACGCAAATAATGAGTAACTTGAATTTGAGAAGCATTAATACAACATTAAAAAAAAAAACGTTAAGCCAAACCAAAAAAATCAAAAAGAAATGATCAAATGCACTTCTTTCATTCCACATGTTTTATTTAGGATCTATAATGGCATGTTCTGTCGTTAAGGTCACATGGAAATAATTTTACGCTAAGCTCAACATTTCAAATGAGATATTGAGTTATTTAGGAAAAGAGTGTTGTTCATTTATTTCAACATTTAACCTACAATATTCCTGTAACGAGACACGGCCAGCAAGGTTGAGGCGTACGTGAACGCATCCGAAGACCAGAAAATGAAGTTAGCCGTTGGACTGGTGTAGCCTTGGAACGTCGAAGGAATGGGATAGAGAGATCTTCTTTCTTCCAGCATGGCGTCATATTCGTCTTTTGGTATGTAGCCTTTGATCCCATAGGAGGCCATTGTGTCGGGCATAACAGACCAATCACTGATCTCAGTGCCGTTAAGACCCTCAAAGAAATTGGCTGGATACCAGAAGGGTATATGCTGTGAAAGTAATACAGAACTGACATGTTAAATGAGGAATGATCTGAAAACGTTTTTTTTTTTAAAATACATTTTAATTGAGTAGCTAAAAACTCAAAAAGGTTCCGTCATTTTAATTGAAGCATAAAAGGTCATAAACATATTTAAGTGGTGGTGAGTATATGGTTACATCATTTTTTTAAAAGATGCTCTCTGTAAAACTGTACTGTCTGCAGTAACGTATAAAGAAAATACTCTAAGTCATTATAAACTAAAAAATAACCTAATGGAAAAATGTATTGTAAATGTTATGGTAAAACTCCAAAATTAAACAATTTACAATATACTAGCAAATATACCCAGCGTTTCCCGGAATTGCTTTCAGAAACCCTTCCACAGCTTTATCATTTAAATGTTTAATTAATGGCCCTATTAAAAAAAATAAAACTCCAAAATTAAACAATTTACAATATACTAGCAAATATACCCAGCGTTTCCCGGAATTGCTTTCAGAAACCCTTCCACAGCTTTATCATTTAAATGTTTAATTAATGGCCCTATTAAAAAAAAACAAGTCTCTAAATAATTGAAGGCTCATATAAAACGACATATTAATATAAATTTGTAAACTTTTCTAGGCTGGGCCTAGTAAAAAAACAACAACATTTTTTTAAAGACTATTGCGTACCATTATATGATTTTGAAAATTTAATCAGTTGTAAGATTTGGCTTGAATGTTGAAAGATGCGTAACAAAGGACGAGAAACCAGAAAAAAAAGAAAACAAAGCTAGTGATAATGGCAACAATTTTAAGTTTGGTTAAATTTATTTTAAAATACAAGATTGAACATACAGAAATAAAAACTATTTCATTTTAAAGCACAGCCAGTGAAAAGATATAATTATCATAAGAGAAAAGAAAATTTAAATACACACACAAAGAGTACAATCTTGTAAGGCTTCCATATTACGTCTCGTAATTGTCTTATAAATATAGCTTAAGTCTTTCTTCCGGCTGAGGGAGGGAGCAAGAAGCTTCAAGAAATAAAATTCTAGAAATTTGATCGCACTATATAATTCTTTCAAATAAATAGAACGCAAACTACCTTTCCACAATCAAGGGCGGGGTGGTTTTGATACAGCGCTACACATTTGAACGATGACGCTAATATCAAAACAAAAAAAAGGGGGGGAAGACATGTGGTGTTGGCCTCATCTCTAATTTAAAGTAAAATTAGGTCAAGACACAAGCCTAATATTTGTTTGAAAATAAGTATCATTAAAAAGGTATTCACCAACGTCCAAGCTACGACCATGTATTACTTAAAATTAAGTTGGAGGCCGGTGGGATCCCCATTCCCTGGTAGAATCCGTTACATGTGGTACACTTACAGTTATTCCTAAGATAGAGTTCCTTATAAAACTCTTTCAGATAATTAATGAAGTTAAATTTTCAAATTCATCTCGTTTAAATCGGATTCAATCTGCCTTTGGAATTTGTTTAACTTTAGGTCAATTCCCACGAAAGGTATTTAACCCTTAAGTTTAAGGCCAGTAGGAATAATAAATTTGAAAAGAAAGCAAATTTTATTATAAAAATGTTTCCATTTATATCAGATTTTTAAAAAAACGCCAAATATATAGCTTTTTGATGTAACAACTTTCCCCCCGACCCAACTATACACCAAAAAGAGAGGATATTAGTTTAAAATTCAACCATATTATTTTCGGAATTATTAAGTGCAGTTTTATTATTAACCAAGTTTAGCAAAGATCCTTCATTCACGTGGGGGTCTAAATTGTAATATAAACATTCAAACTGATTAACTTTACATTTGCAAGGAAAAATTAATTGGGAATCATCTAGACTCTTCATAAATATCATAAATCTTATCACATAACATGAGAGGAAAATCACTAATAAAAAAAAAAAACACCCGTACACAATAAGGACATATATAATCTTAAAACTTTATAGGGAAAAAATGAACCTTCTAGAATCATCTAGAACAGCAGCTCTCAACCTTTGGGTTGCCTCGGACCATCGTAAAACACGTATTTATGAAGTAGCAGCAAACATAATTTTTATGTTTGGCTTCACCACAACATGAGGAACTGTATTAAAGGGTCAAGGCCTTAGAAATGTTGAGAGCCACTGATCTAGAAACTTCAACAAACTTATAAAAGATAAATTACCCGATCCTAAGAAAATCCCAGGAAGTTATCGTGGACACTTATAGAACTAAATTGAAATGTCATTTATTTTTAAGATCCAAATGCAAATGTATTTTTTTAGTCCTTATTTCAACCTGGAACAATATTGAGTTTAAACACACACAAAAAAACTCTAGATTTATTTTTTTTTCTAAAAAACTGGTTTAAGTCATCTTTTTTTTAATTAAGAAAAACTAGAAAAAATTCAATTTCTATAGCAAATGTCACTTAAGTTAAAAGAGGGGCCTTGTGGGTAAAGTTAATTTATGTGTTGCTTTAGTTATCCCTGAAGAGAAGGGGTACCTAAAAACCCTTTGGATAAATACCATATATATACATATTTATATATATATATTTATATTTCCAAAAAAATTGTAGGTGTCAGCAGCTAAAACAACCAATGAGAATCTAAAACAATTCTTTTGGAAATATAATAGTTAATATTAATGAAAATTTTCTGATACAAATAAAATTTTCATTAATATTAACTATTATATTTCCAAAAGAATTGTTTTAGATTCTCATTGGTTGTTTTAGCTGCTGACACCTACAATTTTTTAATCTCTTTGCAGGTTAGTTTTTGAATAAAACTTATTATATAGATGATATAAAATATATTCTTATTTATAACTATCATAATTAAACACAACTCACACTTAAATCTTTCACAGTAAATGAGAAAACTGCGTTCCAAGGCTCATAACTTCTATCTAGCGCATATGCTGTAAGCCACGATATGCAACCGGTTATCGTTCCTTTCACATCCTCTGAAACACCTAGGTGTCAGAAGAGAACATTTTGGTGGAATGCAAACGGTTATTGTTTTTTTTTTACTTTGGTATTATAATTTGCCTTTTAAGTTCATTTTTGGTGAAATACTTTATCTGTTTTTGCCAATTTCACAAAGATAGCCAGAAGTAAATAAATGCATCCACGTGAATTTGTAAATTGGATTTTTTAAATGTTGTATTTTTTCTTAAAAGTCAAAATTGCAAAGATATTTACTCCAGAGATTCCAATTAATTGAATGAACAGTTTAACTATAACATTCGTAACGATCTATGTGATTAAACTATTTTTTTTTTAAATAATTCTAAATATTAATTTTAGACAAAGCTTTTAAATTCGTCGTTTTTAAAATTGCCAAAAATGCGCTCGTAGCTCCTTTGAGGATTTTAACACAAGTTCGTTTGTTTGTTGATTTGGGTTTGCCTTTTTGTCTTTGGTATGTTTTCATCCTTTTTGTAATAGTTAAATACAATGGCAATGTAATCATGTTGAACAGGTGTGGTCCAGCGGTCTAATGGAAGGTAATGGCACACAAGTGCACGTGGTTTCTTTTTAAGCTTGCAGTATTTATTGACATGCTGCAATGGACATCTAGTATCTAGATCTACGACTGCTGTTACCTAGGGAAAATTATTTTTAAAACAAAAATTTTGATAAATTGGGTTTAACTCTAGGTCAGATGAATTTTAATTAAACTTGGCAGCAAACTGAAATAAGTCTACTAGACACCGCTGTCCACTGCAAAAGAATCATTGTTCATTGCACTACATCAAATTTTGAACCCACCTTCTTTCCAGTGAGTAGTTCTTGCATCATCATCATACACAGCCCACGTGCATATTAATGCATTCGCTGCCATGGCAGTGGTGAAGATCCTGTCCTCACTTCGAACCTGTCGATAAAATGGAAATTTTTACATTTTGAATTTCTACGGATAAACAAGATGTATTCTTATATAATTGTCAATGATTCATTTATTCTTATAGTTAACTATAATTGTAATACATAAATTAATCAGTGGAGTTCTAAGTAATCTTACGTAGATTACAAAATAATTTTTATTGAAAGAAAAAACGTGAAAAACTACCATTGTGGCTCCCCTCCCCACAAGCCCACCAACAAGTAAAGAAAAAGTTAATACTCATATATCCATATTTCTTTTCAGGACATCGGCCATGAATGTTATTTTAACTATTGATATACTTTTTTGAGAACTCTGCGCGTTCAGAATTAAAATGGTTTAAATGTCAAGGTTTTGCTTGCACATTGATCCTCTGTATAGTTGGGGCTTTGGCTGAAGAATTAAAAAGGATAAATCTATTGTAGTCTATATATTCTAATCTACTGGGTACGACCACGTAGAGACAAAACTATTTTCAGAGAGAGAGGAGAGCCAGTGGGTTGGTGCAGCTCTCATTCCATTGGTCGTTGCCATCCTGTTGCTTTGTCAATACGGATTGGATGACTATACCATGAATTGAGAGGAGAGAAATTATTCAAATTACAAGTATACCTTAATATACATATATTATATTATTGGGTCAGTTTTATAAAGCCCTACTCAATTTACTGCAATGGCATTTGGACAAATCAAACATGATTTTGGAATGAACAATCATGGAATTAAAGAACAACTAAAAAATGAGATTATTTCTTTAAATCCTTTATATGCATTTTTGTTTGCATTTATCTAACTGTAAGTATTTATCTTTTATGTGATTGTAGCAAATCATTTTTGGTATGGTACATTTTTAAAAAATAAAACTTAACTGATCAAATACGTTACAAATACAAAGCACAAAGCACAAAGCACAAAGCAACAGCTACACAAGTAATCTCCACACCAAAACACGCAAATATCAAACACATCATATTTCATTCCTCTTTTGGTGGTCGGGGTGAGGGGTGGGGCTGAAAATTTGAAAGAATGTGTTGTCATCGGCAATAAGTCTTCCTGAAAATTTTTAGCTCGATAGAATGATAGGATGTGGATCATTCAGCCTCTGGAAGGTTTTGCCGCATAAAAGAAACACACAAAACACGAAGTTGATATAAAGAATTTCAAATAAAAACAACCCTAAAATATTTTGTTCATATTAATCCTTTATATGCGTTGTTTTCAGTTATGTTATTTTTCTGGATTGATCATTTTTTTAAGAGGCTTGTATGAAAGTTTGTACAACTTCTGGCGCAGACACGTCCCCTGGTTCTGTCCTGGTAGGGTACGTTGCTGAATCAGTGTACTGACATATGTGCAAATGTTGGGGGGAAGCGATGCTGCTAATCCTAACGGCTCCTACCGGGTGCCAGGGCAGCCTTGAAGCTCTCGATAGATGTCGAGTCCTTGGCGCCATTGTCCAGGTGACTCCAAGCGATAAACTTGCTGGCGAAAGTGATTGTTTTTACTGGACCATGTTACACCGAGGCACATTGAAGCATTTGCTATTGTTCCGGATGTAATTACTTATGGGGGGTGTTAGAGGTGAAGTCAGTGTTTAGTGACATGCTTCATATTTCTTTCATTTTCCACTTCAAATATAAATTTTATTTCTGCATACCCAAATACGTCACAAATACAAAGCCCATAGCAACACATGCACAATTAATCTCCACATCGAAATACACAACCAATAAACTATTCGTATTTCGTTCATCTTCCCCTAGTAAAAAAATATTTTTTTGTTGGATTGGGAGTGGGGGGGGGGGGGGGGGGGGCGTTGGAGTTAGGGCTGAGGCTGAAAATTTGAAAGAATGTGTCGTCAATTGCTGCAAGTCTATGTGCCGAATTTCCGTCGATATGATGACGGAAAGTGGGTCGAAGACTTTGACTTAAGCCCAGAAACACGCAAAGATAATTTTTAAAAAAGGAGGCGGCAACTACCGGCAAGCTACTCTGCTTTACAAAAACGTGGATGTACACCATAAAATAATGATTTGATTTTAAAAGACATATAAGATTAACAATGTCACTTACCAGGGGCTTGTTCTCATCAGTGACGTCATCTTCTCCGAGGAAATCGTCAAAATAAACTCTGTCTGTCCCCTCATGCTTGAATTTGGACAAGATAAAATGTGTCATCTCATTCTCTGCCACGTCTTTTAGTAAGTAGTACACAGTCTCCATCACCTGGTATTAGCGGTTTAGGGAAGATGAATTATGAATGTAGCATTGCCACAAATCGCTTATAGTATAGCTATGCACGGTAACAATGTGTTAACGCCACGGCCATTTAACGTAATACATTTTCATAAATTTAATGTCCCGTCAGGGATGGACTGGGGAGTTCAAGCGGCCCGGGCAAAAAAAACAAAAAAAGGCCCTATCTTCATGACTTGTATTTTTTTTTTTATATCACTGGTCCTAGCGGCCCATCTGGAATCTTCCCGGTGTCCCGGCGGCCCAGTCCAATCCTGTGTCCCGTCCCAACCCGTTAAAATTCATTGACACATATTTTTCTCCCATAGCATCTTTGATCACTGCTGAGGAACTAAAAGCTCAAATAAAGACGTCCTAAATAACACAAGGAATCAAGATGCCATTGTTATTCTCTTACCGGAACCGGAAAGGCCCCTTTAGGTCGTGCTGTTTCCAAGATGGCTACAGTTCGAGCAACGAACCAGGAGAATTCCATCGGGGATGTGTAGTAGGTCAAGGCCAGATCGTATCGGTCCGAGAAGTTCGTTTTTATTTCAAATGCGATCAATGACGTGGTGTTGAGGTAGAGTTGCTGAAAATTTCAAAACAATATTAGGGTTAATTTTAGAGGGAATCGACGTGGTTCAATTATAAAGCAGATTATTTCATACACATACAAATACAGCTTTCTGATGGGTTTTTTTTTTTTTGGTTTTTTGGATTGGATGTTATCGTTGAATAACATAGGGTTAATTTTAGGGGGAATAATCATGGGCGCCCGCAGAAAACTTTCTAGGGGGGGGGGACACAAAAAATCGATTAACTTTCTAGGGGGGATGCAAAAAATTCGATTAACTTTTTAAGGGGGGGGGCAAAAATTTTTCAGTAATGTTTTAATGTAGTTTTAATTTACTGTTGCGTATTTGTAAGGTGAACGAACGGACAGGACATCAGCTTAGTTACTTTCTCTTTATTTTCTCTTTACTTTAATACATTTTTTGTCTATTTTTGTCTAAAAAAATTGTATCCAATCAATCCAGGGGGGGAGGCAAGTGCCCCCCTTGCCCCCCCCCCTGCGGGTGCCCATGGGAATAATGTTATTTCACCAATAATACTTTTTCTCTAATTGTGGAGGGGAATGGTCGAAAGGTTCTAACTATAGAAGAGTCAAATTGTTTATCGTGCACAGCTAAATTAATTATATTAATTATTATATAAGGTGTGTGTGTAGCTTGTATTAAATTAAAATATCAGACAACGTAATTCAGAAGTTTCAATTAATGAAGTTTTTCATATGTCAAGAGTGAACAGAACAGCTAGGTCATGGGAAGGCGCGTCCAACACTCGCTTGTGGGGAAGCTTTGGTGCAACTCGAAATCTCTGCTGTGGGGTAAGTGGATGAATCTTTATAGATGTGTGCAATTGTAACATATATGGCAGTCCTTTACTCTTTCTTACAGAGCAATTTAGGTATTATTGAGCTAAATCCTGTTATTAAAAGTTCAGAAAAAAGAACATTTTTAGTACATTTTTCTATGTATACGTGGATCGTCGTTTACTTTGTTGTTTTATTAATTTGATGGATGCTGGGTGGCCGAGTAGTTTAAACTGGAGTTCAATCCCCGCCAAAGCCCATTCAACAAAATTCATCACCAGCACCCAGACGAATGGCAACTCATCTAAGAGACGGAAACTATGATTTCAAGATTTTGTGGATTACGTCCTGCTAGGCCACACCATCGCAAAAAAAAAAATTAATTTGAAAAATATATAATTTTTTGAAGTAAAATCATACCGCAATAATTGGGTCATTCAATACTTGAGGATCGACTAGTCCAGAGAGTACAGCTGACGTTAGTCCTCTAAAAAAAAATTAATTTGAAAAATATATAATTTTTTGAAGTAAAATCATACCGCAATAATTGGGTCATTCAATACTTGAGGATCGACTAGTCCAGAGAGTACAGCTGACGTTAGTCCGTAGATTGTGTTGGCTCCTACTGCGACGTCAACGTTGTTTACCTTTAAAAGTGTCGTAAATATCCGGTTGACGTCACTTTGTAACTCTTCTATGGTTTGCATCTTTGACAGATAGAATAGAAAGGATAAATTTAATATCGACATGTTGTGTGGTCATTGAAGTAGATCAAAGACTCATGTAACTTCGACATGATATGTGATCATGGAAGGAGGTAAGATATTCCTGTAGCTTCGACATGGTGTATGATCATGGAATTGGGTAATACAAAAATAACTGGGAAATTTTGTACAAAAATAAAAGCGGTAATGTGTAGAAAAATAATTGGATAGTAGGTACCAAAATAACTCTATTGGTAGGTACCAAAATAACTCTATTGGTAGGTACCAAAATAACTCTATTGGAAGGTACCAAAATAACTCTATTGGTAGGTACCAAACTAACTCTATTGGTAGGTACCAAAATAACTCTATTGGTAGGTACCAAAATAACTCTATTGGAAGGTGCCAAAATAACTCTATTGGTAGGTACCAAAATAACTCTATTGGTAGGTACCAAAATAACTCTATTGGTAGGTACCAAAATAACTCTATTGGTAGGTACCAAAATAACTCTATTGGTAGGTACCAAAATAACTCTATTGGTAGGTACCAAAATAACTCTATTGGTAGGTACCAAAATAACTCTATTGGTAGGTACCAAAATAACTCTATTGGTAGGTACCAAAATAACTCTATTGGTAGGTACCAAAATAACTCTATTGGTAGGTACCAAAATAACTCTATTGGTACGTACCAAAATAACTCTATTGGTAGGTACCAAAATAACTCTATTGGTAGGTACCAAAATAACTCTATTGGTAGGTGCCAAAATAGCTCAAGTAGCTGGTACAATATATCTAGTAGTTGGTACATAAATAACTGGGTTGTGGGTACAAAAATAACTGCAATAAGTGGTACACAAATAACTGTATTAGTGGTAAAAAATTATCTGCATTATTGGGTACAAAAATAACTGTAGTAGTGCGTACAAAAATAACTGTCGTAGTAGGTACACAAATAACAGTAGCATTGGGTACAAAAATAACTGTAGTAATGGGTACAAAAATAACATTAGTAGCGGGTACAAAAATAACTGTAGTACTGGTTACAACACTAACTTTTGTAGTTGGTACTAAAATAACTGTAGTAGTAGGTACAAAAATAACTATAATAGAGAATACAAAAAAAAAAAAAAAAAAAAAAAAAAGAAAAAAAAAAAAAAAAAAAAAAAAAAAAAAAAAAAAAAAAAAAAAAAAAAAAAAAAAAAAAAAAAAAAAAAAAAAAAAAAAAAAAAAAA